CAATGATCTGAAAAGCTCTGCAGTGCAATTTGTGCCAGAAACTATGCACAGTATCTTTTATTTTAATCAAGGAAATATCTGATGGAATTGTAGTAGTTTGCCTGTTTTGCGTACCAGAACACTGTGCATGTGAATAAAGTAGTATTCCTATTATTGAAACCAAAGTATAACAATTTGTTTTTAACCGACAGCTGCTGTATGTTACTCTACCTCATACACTTCATTCCATACTGGGTTCAAATTCTGTTTGATGGTCTTGGTCTTGAAAAGGCGGTCTCCAACTCTGAGTTTTGCATAGGGGTCTGATTTGCCTTTCACTAAACCCATCATATATGTATCCTTAGCCACCAGGTCTCTGGCCTCTAGCACATGGACCCTCACCACGCCCTGGGGAGCACAGGAGGAAGGTGAGATTTAAACTTTAAAATAACACCATCTTTAAAGAAATCTATGCCTGCATATTCAAAAAAGCTACCATATTTCAAACAGCAGCAAAGTTTTAATTGTTTTATTTTTGTAAGTCATTTCTATCATAAAATGCTTAATAGTAATTAAGAATGCAACAAGATGAAGGTAATTAGATGAAGTGTCTTACATACACAAGGCAGCGGGAACCTCATATGGTCCATTTTGACCTGATCTATGAGGGGAAAACACATGCGGTTGGGCAAAACCATGAGCGAAGCAATGATGCCCAAGATGGTCTCCTCAGAAAAGGACCTGGAAAGCCACAGATGAGAGGAGAGAGCTTTACAACTAAACAACAAAGCACTGGGGTGACTATCAAGACCCTGTTTAGGCTAAGAGAAAAGGACTTTAAGAGGCAGTGGGTTTTCTGTGAAAACTAACCCAAAGGCAGGACTGTCCAAAATGCTGGTAGCGCCAGTCCAGGTGATTTCTAAGGTCAAAAAAGTTTAAATAAAAAAAAAAAAAAATTCACACAGCTTCATTGCCACAGTATTGTAATAAAAATGTCAGATGGCACTCACCGGACAATGTATGAAAAAAAAAAGGTGACACCTCCCACCAGTGGTGCTTGACCAATGAGAGGATCTAAAATAACCCTCAGCATCCCCTTGAGCTGGAGGATACAAAACCAAGAGAAGTAAACACAACACGTACAGTACGTTGAGGGTAAAGGTAATGCAGACAACAAATGAGACGCTCACTTTGATTTGTTTGACACCAGCTGTGATCGGTGGCTTCACCACAGCGTTGATGTCCACGTCACCTTCGTAACTGCAAAATGAACAGTGCCGGTGAGAAGGAAATGACTGTAAGGGACAACAGGACACAGGCACACCCAGCTGGCTCTGGTTCAGAGTTCAATGACGTTGAAACAGACGGAACCACACACATTTAACAGCAAATGACAAGACAGAAACAGCCCTAAAGTGAACCATACTGTACATGTAACCAACCTTATATACATGTCCAGAACAACCTCCCTCTGATCCACTTCATGTGTGTATGCTTTCATTCCAGTGATCCGGAAAGGCTTCAATTGCAGAAACATTTTAAAAACACCCTCCTCGACCTTGTTTAATGAGACTACAACCCATTTACCAGATGCAGGAGTACTGGTTTT